TGGTTAGATTCTGTCTTGTTAGTAATGGTCATTATCTGGCACTTTTGCAGCCCAGATGTTATTTGCAATTTATCAATCCAAATCTAGGTCCAATCTAGAACTTTTGGTGCTAGACAGCTGAAGTTACGGCTACCATCAATGGCAGAATTAATGAAGTGTTAAAGGCCAGGGTTGGAAGAATAATATACTTAAGGAAGGATATGCTTGCAGAGGAGGCAGCATAGCATTTAGACCCTGAAATAAAAGACTTGAAATGCCACCATGGCAGCTGATGCAATGTAACTTCGTTGTGAAAATCATAAATCTAAATAACTAATTTAGTTAATAAATATTAAAGGCACATTTTATCATTTTTTTTTATTTGTGCACTCATTAGGTCATTTGCAAGAATGAAGGGAACATCATTTCATACTGTATGTTTGGCAAAGGGCCACTGAGTTGTAGAGGTGTTGCCATGACGAATGCAGCATTGGACGAATGTCACTCTGACAAAACTCAAGAAGCTTTGCACCATCCAGAACAAAGTAGCCGGCTTGATTGGCACCACACTTACAAACATCCACTCCCTCCACCACCGATGTTCACTAGCAACAATGTATACCATCTACAAGATGCACTGCAAAAATCCATCAAAGATCCTCACACAGAACCTTTCAAACTCTTACCCACTTCTTTCAAGAAGGGCAAGGGCAGCAGATACATGGGAACACCATGACCTACAAGTTCCCCTCAAAGCCATTCACCATGCTGTCTTGGAAATATATCGTTGTTTTGGAGTAGATTTGTAGCTCGGGTTATGGGTGTTGAGGTTGGTTGGCTCGCCGAGCTGGTTTGTTGTTCTGCAGACGTTTCGTTACCGTGCTCGGTAACATCCTCAGTGCAGCCTCTGATGGAGCGTCGGTGTGTATTTCCCGCCTGGTTTTTAAACTCTGGGGTCCGTTGCGCTGGATTGCCTCACTTCCGGGTTTCCTCCGTAGTGGAATGTACATGGGTTCGAGTTCAATGTGTTTATCAATAGCATGCTTTGTGGAGTGCCATGCTTCCAGGAATTCTCGTGCTTGTCTCTGCCTAGCCTGTCCCAGGATCTTGGTGTTGTCCCAGTTGAAGTCATGGTTCTCCTTGTCCATGTGGATTGAGATGAGTGATGCAAAGACTGGAAAGGACTGCCCTTCCGCAAATCCAACCTAAACTATGGATACGCTACGTAGATGACACCTTTGTCATCATTAAATGGACCAAATTAGAAGAGACACACAAACTCATAAACAACACCCTCACCGGAATAAAATTCACCAGAGAAGAGGAGAAGAACTAACAACTCCCACTCCTGGACATCATGGTAGAGCGCAAGACAAATGGGCAACTGCAAACAAAAGTACACCGAAAAGCCACACACAGACCAGGTATTGAACTTCAATAGTAACCGTCCCAGCACACACAAACGAAGCTGCGTGCGAACACTATTTTTAAAAGGGCCACAACACACTGCAGCAACATGGAACTACGCCAAGAGGAGGAGGAATACCTCTTCTAAGTGTTGAAGGATAATGGATATCCAAAGAACTGCGTCAGGAGATGCCTACAGGAACAGCATCAGAAAGATTCTACATGTCCCAACACACTCATCACACTACCCTACATCAGGAACACGTCAGAACTCACCACAAAACTCCTACGACCGCTGGGCATCAGAGTGGCACACAAGCCCGCATCAACCCTATGACAAGTGCTCACCCGAACTAAAGACCCACTCCTCGCCATGGACAGGACCAGTGTCATCTACAAGATCCCCTGCAGAGACTGCGAGAAACACTACATCGGACAAACAGGAAGGAAACTAACAACAAGATACATGAACACCAACTGGCTACAAAAAGACACGACCAATACTCACTCATCTCAATCCACGTGGACAAGGAGAACCACGACTTCAACTGGGACAACACCAAGATCCTGGGACAGGCTAGGTAGAGACAAGCACGAGAATTCCTGGAAATATGGCACTCCACAAAGCATGCTATTAATAAACACATTGAACTTGACC